ACACACACACACATAGAAAATAAAAATAAAAATAAAAGGAGAACCACCTTCCATTGTGGTGTGGACTCCCCAGTAAGAATGGCTTCATTAACAATAGCACTTCCAGCCAATATAAGCATATCAGCAGGTACAGATTTATCTTCACCACTATGACCAGAATCACGCCCAACAGAGACAACATCTCCAGGCAAAAGCTCAGTCCCAGGCAACTTAACCCACCTGAGTTACGTCACCACGTTAACATGTCAAGAACCAAAGTCGCTAAGAAAGGAAAAATAGTCCAAGTAGCAGAAATGACATACTTTCCACACCGATGCACCATTAAGGTCTGAGTATCCACTCTTACACGTCTCAACTCACTCAGGGTCTTTAACCGGCTTTTTGCCATTGTTGACTCGAACATAAACAGCATGAACAGAGTAAACAGGCTGTAATACCAATACTCATCCAAACACCATAATCCCACACAAAAGACCTGTGGAAAACCAAAAAATGTACAACCGTGTGAGAAATAATAAATGCCTCTAAAAATAAATGGGTGGGTAGGTGGGTTAGGGGGGCAGATAGAAGGGTTTAACACAAGATCTTTTAGATAAAATAGAGTCAACCTGAAATACAAAAAATGGTTCCATACACTGCTCTTTCATTAATTTCTGGAACGTTGGTTGTGGATACTCGAATCTGTAAAGCCAAAAACATTGAAAAAAGAAAAGGAGCAACAAACAATTTATTAAAGATACCAATTTTGTAACAAGGATCTCTGTCCAACATATTCCTTCTAAATGGTACATACCCAGCAAACATCATCTAGAGAACTCAAGGCAATCAATCCAACAAGTGGAATGGTGTAAATTTTACATGCAATAATGTATTGTGGCAGCAACTATGTTGCACCGAACACATAAACACTGAAGCCTAAAATTGAGGGATGATATCTGAGTTCTCCTTTCCTGTGGAGAAGTTTTTCCTTCAAGAAATGCAGAAATTGACAAAACATATTTCTTTGTTGTCCCATTTTACCATTCAAGCATGCAACAGTCAATTATAAAACGTCCATGAATTTTCAACAGATGCACAAAGTAATAATAATAAAAGTGAAGTCACTGAAGTGCGAAAAAAAACCCACATATTGCGTCCCCATTTTTCAATAGCAGCTACAACTTTAGGCTCGGAGCCATAGCCGGTACTCTTTAGATAATAACCAAAAGTCTCTTTAGTTGGGTAAGGAAGCTTGCAGAAAGTCTCCTTCTCCTTTGAATAAATAAACCGCTGTTTTCTAAAATCAAAGTAGATCTCCTCAATATCCACTGCAGATGCAGAACCTGCCAGCTGTGAAGCAGGGAGTTCAATGTAACTGATAAGGAACAGCACAGAACAGATTCCAGACTATTGAAAGACAATAGCAGAATCAGAACGCAGGGAAGACTGTACACCAAATAAATAGTTTTTTTTTTTTTAATGAAAGGCCAGCTTTCATTTATCAATGAAATATATACAAGGGAAATAAAAATATAAATAAATAAATAAATGAGGAAAGCTCAAATCAAAAGGAGCCAAAAAAGGAATTAAGTTCAAAGAGAACACAGAAATCCCTACACCTATCCTTACCAACACCTTAGAAAAGAAATCACTGAACTCCAATCAATAACGAAAGCTCCAAAATGTGCTCACGAAATCAAATCCAATTTTAGGTGCACCACACTTCGTCAGAAGGGAAAATATTTACAATGCCTAACGAAAAACTTGAAATCAAGATCTTGACATGCATACTTAAAATCACTTACAAGCTTACGAAAATGAAGCATAACCATTTCTTTAGAGCCCGAAAATTTTGCTGGAACTATTTTGCATGTATCAGCATGATAAATATCATTAACCTGCATGTCAAAAGAAGCACCATACAAAAACATTAGATGTTTACAAACCTTATTGCTTTCACTTAACACAGACTTCGATGCAATTAAATTTTAAGACATATCCCACCAATAGAATATTAGATGAAGTAGTTTGAATTTTCAACCAATCCGGATAATCAAAATTATTATGAGAAAAGAGATCACTTTGAACATTAAAAACTACAAACATTGCAAGTGAATGCAGTCGAAAACATTTCAACTGTGGAAGTAATAGTTAAACACATACGGAAAGGGGTAAAAGTGAAGCGAACTGAAGCACAAACAATACCCAGTTTTCTTCTCACTGAAATACTTATCCACAAAGTAACTGGTAGAATAGTGGCGGTTAATAAAGATGTTACTTGGGCAGGTTGGAAAGGGAAATGCCTAAAAAAGTTAAATTCTTGATCTGGACGCTCAACCATATGAGTGTTAATATAGCATATAAAATCATAGACCATATTAACTCCTAAACATGACCTTGAGTCGGAGTTGTTCTGTTATCTGTATGGGAGATGGTAAGGATCAAGCTCAAATGATCTTCTTAGTCCATTAAGCAATAACATCTGGGACTCCAACTTCCAATGTTTCAAATCTTCATTGGTACTTGACCAGTAAACCAAGGGTAATATATCTCAATTGCTAACCAGACAGGCAAAAGAAAACATGAAGTCTTTTGTAATACAATTCAATTACACTCTTCTTGGTGGTGCTATAGGCATAGAAAATTCTTTTGTAATTATAGCCTCTCATCATTACTTCAAGATTGGAGAGCTATCCTTCACTAGCTTTTGGGAGGGGGATATCTCTTCCCCTGACCCATAGCGATTTTTTGTAACTATGCTTCTTCTTATATGAAAGTGCTTTAATGTTTCTTATAAAAAAAATAATAATAATAAAATACAAATAAAAATAAAATGAAGCTTCCGTGCACCAATGCTGAAAATGCAACCAATCAGGGTCTGTGGATAGAAATATATGAAATAATATTCAATGGAAAAAAGTACTCAATCAGGGAAGAGTGTTTTGACTACCAACCAAGCAACAGTTCGTGAATTTGATTGAATTTAATCAGAGGAAGGGGTATTTTGTAAACTCCGACTGAGAGTCTAACTAAGACTGTATCTTTCCACCACATCAATAAAAGGTATTTCTTTCAAAAAGTAAAAAACGGGAGGAGGGGCGGACTTCATTTCTTTCTCCTTGAGGATTCCCATCCTCTTTTACTCTTGTAATTTCTTCAAATTAACAGGTTTTGTCTTCTATCAAAAACATTAAGACAGCAGAAAAAACGTCCTAACAGATTCCCAGGACATAAAATAAAGATTTATCAGATTTTATCAGTATAGGTATCTTAAATTTTACACTGATAATGGTCGCAAACACCAGATGGATTTCTTCAGTGCCGTATAAATTTTCAGTGAAACTCCTTATATATCTTCTTCATACGGTGAACACCATCAACTGTATACCACATCCAGATTTCAGAACATAACCATAACATCTGCTAGAAACCTCAAATCTTTTATTTCGGCCCTCCCACGTCTCCCTACAGATTACAAGCTTCTTCCAATCCAACCATCCAGCATTTCGTTGTCAAAGAGCTCAAAAAATATAAAAGATGCAGCCTCGAAACCAGCAGAATATAGAAAGAGTGAGAGAGCGAGCTCTACTCAAACGCTCAAGATAATTTACAACTATGCACATCTCGTACGAATGAAAATGCATAAAAATCACCAAATGCAAGTACGATATTAAAGAGAGAAAATAATGATGATAGCTGAACACCTGACTGTACTGGACAAAGCATTTGAAATCAACCGACCAAGCAGTGAAAAGCAAGACCAGAACGTGAAGAGCCGCAAGTCCACCCAAAACAATCAAAGCATCCCCAAAGTCTATGCTCGGAACAACCACCGCAAGCCAAGCTGCATAGAGAATAGCGAATGGCCACAGATCCAACCGCCATGCCCAATGTTTCTTCCTCAACAAGTCAACTCTCTCGACCACCTTCCCTTCCACGTGGAATCTCAACATCTTTCGCGGCCAAAACAACCACGATTGCAGTGTGAAGTCTACTGACGTTCTGCTGCTCGATTCGGAGATTGGAAAAAGTGGAGCATCTGGAATTCAGTGAATGAGGGAAAATGGATCAGGTGGAGAGGGTGAAAGAGAGAAGAAATTGAAACGACGAACTGAATTGAGAGAGAAAATGAATGATTCGGCGTACCGTACCCAGAGAGATCGGCGGGTAGGAGATGGAATCAGCAGAACGGCTGGGTTTTTGATCCGCAAAGATGGAGAGATGCCGATGGTTTTGGGTTCCATTCCTTACGGACCCGTCTTAACCCGCCCGTTTTCCAAACGGGCCGTGCTTTTGCTTTTGCTTTTTCTTTTTCTTTTTCTTTTTATCTCCACGAAATTCAATAACTTACCTTCATCTGAGTTAAAGTTGCAAATTATCTACTACATTCTTATATTCTTAAACTTTCAAAAATATTTAATAAGTCTGGCTTTTTTATTTATCAGGTTCCAGAATTGTATCTATATTTTTTATTTTGTTTCTGATAAGTATTTGATATTTACGATGTTTTCAAAAATTACAAATAAAATTTGAATTTGGTATTATGTCTAATAGATAGAGATAGATTTATTATACTAAAAAGTTGATGAATTTACTATACACAAAATTAAAACCTTAAGACCTATTAAATATTTTTTTTAAAGATGTGCAGAGATTTGTAATTTAACATTTTATCTCTTTTATTCTTTTAGAAGTTCAATTTTTTTATACTTTTTAATTCTTTTAGAAGTTTAATTTTATACTTTTTTTATTTTTTTTAGAAGTTCAATTTTATCATGCTATAACATGCAGTTGAATAAATTGTGTGAATAAGGTTTTAAATATTAACATGAAAGTATGGATGGAATATAAGAAAAAAATATAAAATAGTAATAGTAATGATAATAAATTGATTAAAATACTATTTTGCCATGTAGTTCCAAATTTTTTACTCATTTTAATCCATGTATGTATTTTCAGTTTTCTATTCATTTTAATATATATAATTTTAAAGTAATTTGTTTCAATTTTCTATTCATTTTAATATACTAGTGTAATTACCACGCGTGCGATGCACGTATAAATTTTTTTAATTATAAGATAACTTAAATTTTATATAATTTCACGTAAAATATTTTAAGTACAATTATTTTAAAAAATAATTAAGATTAATTTTTATATATATTTATTATTATTGACAGCTAATTACTAAATGTACTATTTATAATTATTTTTAAAATATACTATTTATAGTTAATTGTTAATGATATATTTTGTAAATAAATAAATTAAAAGTAAAGGAAAAATTATATATTAATAAAAAAGTAAATAGGTATTTTTATATTTTTATTTTTAAATTATTTCAACCTAATATGGGTCCTCCATTTTATTTTTTTTAATATTTTGTTTGTTTATTAAATATTTGTTTAGGTCTGGCATTTTGTTGTATATGTTGAATTTTTTAACTAAAACTAAATTATTTTATTGATTTAATTTTATATTATAATTAAAATTATTAAAGAAAAATTCTTCAAATTATATTATTAGAAAATAAAATGACCAAAAGTTTTATATTCCACCTTTTACGATTCTATACAAATTATTCTTTATAATTAATTTATTAATTGAACATTTTTTTATATACTGACTTCTATGATTGTTTTTTTTTCAACAATAAGAACATGAGCTTGTAATTATCTATATTTCAAACAAATATTCTAAATAAAATTGCTAAAAAAAATACACTAAAAAAAAAAACATTAGTAACAAAAAAAAAGTCCAAATCCTAAACTAAATAAAATTGCTAAAAAAAAAAACATTCCAAATAAAAAACACACTAATTAGAAAAATAACAATAGTAACAAAAAAAAAATCCAAGTACTCACTATACACTCATCTTTTAGAGTAAATATGCTCATTCTTGAAGATTGCTTGAGAGATACTATTATTCAACTTTGTAAAATTGTGGAATGGTAATGTTACGAACCTAGTATTCGAGATATGTAGATTCAACATATGCCTCTCTTGCAACTTGATGAATATGTCACAAATATCTCGAGATGTTTTCAAGATTGAATCATCTTTGAGAGATGTTTCAAGGAACTACGAATAAAAAAGTATTGAAACTTGTGAAAAACATGTAGAAGAAAACATGTTTTTATAGTAGTAGAGGATAAAACGTTAGAAAAGCTTTTCAAATTCTAAAACTCTTGAAATTCTAGTATGAATTTTAATTAAAGAAAAAATTAATTTTATGTTGTTGGAAAACTTTTTGCATTTTAACCTTTTATATTCCACGCATTTATAGTATTGATAATTATTAATTAATAATTAAAACGTTAGAAAAGCTTTTCAAATTTTAAAACTCTTGAAATTCTAGGATGAATTTTAATTAAAGAAAAAATTAATTTGATGTTGTTGGAAAACTTTTTGCATTCTAACATTTTATATTTCTAACATTTTATATTCCACGCATTTATAGTATTGATAATTAATAATTAATAATTAATTTAATATTTGTAATAATATATTAATGGCATAATTTATAAATTTGTAAATGAAGTAAAGGGCAAAAGTGTCCAAAAATGTTTTTCCTAGATATACTTTAAAAATAATTTGTTTTCAATTTTGTCCCTTTTTTTTACTATCATTTTTTAGTTTTTTTAATTTTATTCATAATCCCATTTTTTAGTTTTTAAATTTTATTCATAATCTCATTTTTTTAGTTTTTTAATTTTATTCCTAATCTCATTTTTTCTAATTATTTTTTCTATCTATGCTGACACTATATTTGACACTATATTCGGTAACTTTACCATTAAAGAAATGTAACTTTAACATTAAAGAATTTTCATTAAGTATAAAAATTATGTTAAAATTTTACAAATTAAAATGGTCACATGAACTAAAGTTGAAATTACAATAATTAAAACAAACCTTTTGAAAATGAACATTGAAAGTAACTTACAAAAATTAAAACAGTATTTTAACTTAATAACTTTTATGAAGTTTTACTTTAGTAAATTAAAAGAATATCTATAGATAGTACTTTCATCGAGATTTTCATAAATTTGATATCTTAAACGTTCCTGATTTTTCACAGTAGGAACAATAGCTCTTATTTACTACATATATGTTTGGAACCAAAATAGCTTATATATATACACATTGTGCTTCCTCATCAGTCATCATAATCGAAGTGCACTTCACTCTTGCAGCCCAATAACGCCTGCAAAACACACATAATAGACGTCGTTTATGCCAAAAAAAAAAGGTAAAAATCTTAGCCCCAAGTGACAAAACCCAATTGTTCAAGTTACAAAAGGCACGTGAAGAACAACTCTGTCAAATAGATATTTATTGAATCGTGAATCTAAACATAGAATTTGAATTCTTATTATATACCAAAAAGACCCTAACCATTTGAGACGATATAAATTTCCGTAACCCATTCCTAGAATGGATATGGTGAGTTTAATGGACTAAAATAATGCTCGATATTGTCATGTAATGTCAACATCAACATATAAATGTAAGAGTTGTTATCAGAACCAGAGTACAAAATGAATTTGAACCTTCTTAATTTAACTAAGCTGGTAAAAATTAAATGAGCTCTCAATAATCAAAAAGAAGCAATGAGAATAATCAGTATGATTCTGCAACTTACCACAAGCTACTCTCTCACCCGCATTGCCAGTGGTCAGGCTAAGCTCGGTTTGACCTGCAGACAAGATCAAAAAATGGTTCATGGTTTTTGCTTCAGATTTCATAATTTTGTTATCCTCATGGAAGTCATTTACTTGACATGCACAGACAGAAGGGAGGTTTACAATTAATTAAAGGGGAACAAATATTTCAAGGATTGATATTTTCAGCACATTGATATCCCATGGCTTAAGACTTTTGTAAATTTAGGGAAACAAATGTGAAGAAACTGGGTGGTATGCACTGCAAATGGTTGAATAATTGAAAAATTAGATTATCTAGGAGTACACATTGAATGAAAAATGAGACGACCCCCAAAAGGATATCACTGTACTCAAAGAAGATCAAAATAATACCAAGGTGAAAACATGATTACTGATGAATACATGTGAGTGAATTTGTTTTGGTCAATCATTACAATCTTTTGAATGATAAGTGATAAAGTTGAAACAACGTAAAAGATTCTTATTTAAAATATTGCATTGATAAATTTATAATATTACCTCGGCCAAGATCATCAGGATCTGCATGGACAACGATTGCCCTTCCAACAATGGAATTCGGTCGAACAAGGGAAATCTGCATAATATGGAAAGGTTGAATGCTCACTAGTCGAGACTTCTCATGAAACATTCACATATACAAGAAATTGTCCAAACCTGTTTGTCAATGATAGAGAAAGTGGCAGTACCTGTGCAATAGACGTAACAACATTAATCAATATTAATTGTGTCAACAAAAAGAGGAAAAAGGCGTTTTAACATGAAGGTTGTGATCTTCATGGTCAGAATTGGCATTGATAGGAGGGGGGGAGGAGGCTAGATTCCTAAAAGAATTCAATGTAGCACGACCTTACTTGAACAGGATTTGTTCTATAAGTTGTACTACTTGAACAAGATTTGTTCTATAAGTTGTACTACTGTGTCTTTGAGTTCTAAAAAGGAATTCAGTGTAGCGCAATTTGGAAGGTCCAAATTACTCAAATTTGTTTACGGGAAAAAGGCAACAAGGATCAGCATTAAACAGACCATCATCGCCGGCAACCAGATTTCCAAGATCACCAACATGACGATTCTTATCCTCGGGGGCACCATGGTCTTTGCCTTCAGGGTTGAAATGTGGCCCTGCAACGATTTGTATGCAAATGGAGATGGAGTTATAATTCCCAATAGCTCCAATGGACACTCTGTATCTAATGCTGAAGTACTAAGAGGGTGTTTTAATCTTGAGAATGTACCAGTTGATGAGCAACCATTGGTTGTGTCTCCAAGGGCATGAACATGGAAGCCATGAAGCCCAGCTTGAAGACCAGAAATATTTCCTGTAACTGTCGTTGGACCTGGAAAAATATACAGGTGAAATTAAGGACGACAAAAAAGGAAAAGAAAAGAAAAGCTGTAAGCATTTAGATTTCGAACACTGATTTGAGCTACCATTGCCATTTTGGCTAAAGAAGACGGTTCCACTGACTCCCAGACTGCTCTCAAGGACAGCTACGGCTTTCACCATTGTTTTGTGCTAACTGAACTAAAAATCCAATGACGGTTATCAAAACAGCTGAAACAACTGGTGAAATCGAATACTTTTCAGTCAATAAAATAAACTAAAGAAAATTTTACTTTCAAGTTTAAGGGACAACTGGAATTCACAAAAGCAAAATGATACTATATGATAGGCGGAAATTAATAATTCCGGTGAAGAAATTTGAGCCAAAAGATCAATGCCAATCTTCAACATCTCCAATCAGTTCAAACTGTAGTAAGTTAAACCACTGTTACTTCAGTTCATCAGCACAACACATACAAGTGATCAAGAGGAGACAAGGAAGGGGTTGGGAAGATGTTAAAAAACATTTTAGATCAAGTAAAAGATACAAGATTAATTTCGCGTTAGCTTCTTTATTGCATTTCCATTACTTAATCCATTATTTTCATACAATTTCAAAACTCACACTTCTTGTCAAACAATTCTAGAACGTTTTGACCATACGCGTTTTACGTACACCAAAAGTTTCACGGATTTTTGGTTCTTACTTCAAAAGTTCCATAAATTAATTTCCAAATCAGTGACCTGTTTTTATTCCAGAAATCAACATAAATTTCTTTCTATTCAAGAGTAAATAACGATGAATGAAAACAATATTCCACAATCCACACAGCCATCTGAACCAGAAAAACCACAGTGATTAATTAGTTTTAACTCGTAACTACCATGGAAACTAGGAAGTCCCAAAAAAAGAAATCAAACAAAAGTCGATAATCATCAGTGACCTGTTCTTACTGCAGAAATCAACATGATTTTTTCTTTCAATTCAACAGTAAATAACAAGGAATGGAAACGATAACAGACACGGCCATCGAAGCAAAAAAGAATCACAGCGATGAGCTTCAAATTTTAACAAGTACAATACAACTTGAGCTATCCTCAATCTTCAATGTGCAAAAAAAAAAGTGCAGAACAGACCTCCTCAAACAAAAACTCGATTAACTACAGTTTAGTGTCAACACAGAATTCGGTAATCCGGCTCAAATAATAAACAGAAACAATCGAATTACAGATGAAATGGCAGGGAATCGGCACCTCTGAGTGTAGTTGGGAAGAGAAGAGGGAGAGAACACCGAGCTCGCGCCAGCTTTGTATGCATGGAAGCTCGAGGAATCGCCACAGGATGTATTCAAAAGGCAGATAATCGCCACGTCTCAGTCGAGCAGTTTTTCTTCACCGATTGATTTATTTTAAAGATGGGACAAAATACAATTTCATCCCGAGTTTTGATGATAAATTTCTATTATTTACGTGTGTTTCAAAAATTAACAGTTTAATCCTTAGCTTTAACAAAATAGTTTTGAAAGTCGTTAGGTTTAGACTCATAATAATGAAAATGTTAACTTTATTTACCATAAAATTTTTTGAATCAAAATAGAATTATATTATTTATTAAAACTATCTAGAATAAGAGTTCTATAACTTCATTCTTTTTATCTAATTATAACTATATTATTGTGCTGGATTTTTTTAATTAATAAAATTTATTTTATTTAGTACTCTATTATTGATTGTAAATATTTTTTGTTATAAAAATTTATTTTATATTGATCAATAATGAATAACTAAAATAAAATTACATTAACTTTTTATTAGAACAAAATCATTATTCAATATTACATTTTATTATGCTAATATTTAACATAAATAAATTATATTTTAAAAAATTTATTGATATTGACTAATAGTAACAAAGTAAAATTAAAAAAAATTAATATAATTTTTTTAGAATATAAATTTATGATATTTTATAATAAAATCACATTAAATAATAAAAGTTGTATAAATTTTATTAATTGTTAGTTGTATAAATTAAAAATAAATAAACTGAATATAAAATAATTCATTAAAAAGTTATGAGCATGGTAATTATGGTTACGTAATTATAATATATGTGGGACCCACGAAACAATAAATGAAAAATGAGATTGATAAGGTTGTAAAAGAGAATGAAATTGGAGGAAATGGATTGTTTGAGGTGAGTTGCACCATTTGATTATATTTCACCCATGAGTTATGCTCGCTCTAGTCGTATCACTTTTTTCTTGTCCAACATTTGAGAATTTTTTTTATATAACTAAAATTTTAACGTGACATTTAGTTCGATAATTACACAACATTTACTATGACTTTAAAAAGAGACTAGAAAATTAATACAACACATGATTTATGAGACAAGAAGGAAATGTAGAAGATATCTTAACGTATGATAATTGGAAATTTTGAGATGTTACTACTTAATGAAAGGTCAAATTAGATCGGGCTTGAATTTGATTCAAACTAGCTAGGTAGAAAATTAGTGAAAATGGTAATGAGATTCTTGAGGAAAAAAATGAAAGATAAATTTGACTAAATGTCCTACAATGCAAGTCCATTGATTTTTTTTTTCTTCAAGAAAACTGTTAGCCTTGGAGGAGGTGAACTCTTGCATCATAATAAAATCAAACCCGACCTAATTAAGGTGGTGAGAAATCATTTAGTTCAATAATTGTACACGAGGTATAACCATTTTCTTATTCAATTTAGGGCTTTTTTGATAAAACTAAAATTTTAACATAACATTTTAGTTTCACTAATTACACAATATTTATTATGAATTTGAGAGGAGACTAGAATAATATGTGAGACAAGAGAAATGTAGAAGATATAAATCCTAGTGTAGAGAATTAATTGATTATAACTGATACGGTAATTGAAAATTATGAGACGTTAGTTAATGAAGTTCAGGTTGGATTGTGCTTAGGAATTTGACTCGACGACAACACAGTTAAAAATGAGTGGAAATGGTGATGAGATTCTTGAGAAAAAACAAAATGAAGAGAATTTTTTGACGAAATGTCCTGCGTTGCAACACTAGGTAAGAGTCAAATTATGCAATTTTCATTATTATTTTTTTAGTACAACTCCCATTCTTTTTAAGCATTTAGAGCTAATGATTTTTAATCCAATTTTTTTCATGATGATAAAATCGGGTCTGACCTAAGGTATAAATACGAGAGATCATTTAGTTCAACCATTGTACACGACTATAATCATTTTCTTGTTAAATATTTGAGAGCTTTTTGATAAAGCTAAAATTTTAACATGACATTTAGTTCAATAATTACACAACATTTATTATGAATTTGAAAGGAGACAAGAAAATTGGTACAATAAACGATATGATCGGTGAGATAGAAAGGAAATGCAGATGATATAAATCTTAGTGCAGAGAATTGGTTGATTATGGCTTACACGATAATTGAAGATAGAAAGGAAATACAGATGATATAAATCCTAAGGCAGAGAATTGGTTGATTATGGTGATAATTGAAAGTTATGAGATGTTACTGCTCAATGAGGTCAAGTTGGAAATGGTGATGAGATTATTGAGAAAAAAAATGATATTATCAACAATAGTAATAGTTGATAATGCTTAAAAAAGTTTTTCAAAATTAAAACTAATTAGCAAAAAAAGATTAAAATGGATTAGCAATATTGTGGATTGAAAATCATATATTAATGAATTTAAATTATCAAAATTTAATACATACTTTTGGATATAAAAAAATTAAAAAAAAATAATTTTAGATGATATATTGATATTTTATATTAATGCTTTTTTTATTAAAATTTTGTTTAAGGCTCCAATATCATCTTGAGGCATTTAAGGGAGTCCCGTCCAAATGAGGCGATAACGAGTTATATTAATAACTGGCTGTTTTGATTGTTTGGAAAACTTGATGAATTTAATAGATCTTTTTAGGAGGATCAAATGACTATTGACTTATAATGTGTAATGGTCAGCTATTCACGGACTAGTTGTTCCTACATTTTTTTAGGGTCAATATGCAGTTTAATCAATAAATCCGAACGAACAAAATGTTCAGTTTAGCTCTCCCTCGAAAAGCCAAATGGTGAAAACTGGTGTTCTTAGACAAAAATACATGTTAATTTGCATTATTTGATAATAAATTTGGAAGACATAGGTTGATTTAATACCATTGAAAATCAATATTATCCATGTGTTTCTGTACTCCATTTTAGTCATCAATTCCGCTCTAAACAAATTTGCTATTGCTTGTATAGGATATGATAGTTGTGAAGCCAAACTTTGAGCACTATTCCATTTAATTAACTCATGAATGCACTCAAAAACCACTGAATTAAATATAATAAGAAATTAGCTTTATTTCTATTTCTTTCCTTTCAATTTTGTTTAATCAATTTTCTTCATTGGTCCTAGATGAGTTCCAATGGATGCTTGCAAAATGTATTCTCACATGGATCTGATATACTGTTTTTGAACATCCTTGGACTAAGCAAGCAAACACTTCGATTGTAATTGTAGACCTTTTATTCTGAATAAGGATTTTGTGAGCTCTTTGGTATTTTTTTTTAATTTGTTCATATTGAATAAGACATGAATTTTATTTGTTAAAAAAAATTATTGAAACAACTAAAGTTTGCGCAGAATAAAACCTTTGAAAATTATGGAAAATTGGTTGAGTCTCACGTTTATTTCAAAGGAGAATATGGACAAAAGTTGGTTGGAGTAAGTTTATCTTCAAATTCCCTCTAATCGGAGCAACTTCTCAAATTAAAATTTGGGATGACATAGTCATTCAAAACAAATTGAAGTGTGATCGGATAATTTTATATTGAATCATTCAGAAATGTTAGGGCAACTTCAGAAACCACGACCACACGATGCTGATTTCTTTTGATTTTATTGACTCCCTTTCCCGTAGGGGTTAAAATTGAATACGATGCAGTCTTGTTGCAATCAAAATCATTAGACGAGATTGGATCTTCTAAGTTTCATCAGGTGAGAATTGAGATTTAGGGCTGCGATATCTCAATTTCTGCCCATTTCATACCCTCCTACCAGCGGACGTGCTGGCAATTCAAGGAGAAATCATCAAACTTGAAAATACCTGGATTTATGACATTGATCCTTTAATTCCATATCTTTTCTGCATCTTTTCTGCAGGGTTATCTTTAATTTCTCGAGATATCAAGTAATTAGTGTCAAATTCTCTAGTCAGAAAGGGAATTTAGGCCAATTGAATACCATTTTCTTTTTAGAAATTATGTTTATTTTATGGCAATATATTCCGTATATTATTTATCACATTTATTCATATTTAAATTTTTAGCAAAATTTGAATAACAAAAATAAATTTGAAAACTACTATTTTTTTACTTTTCAAATTTAGTTGGGACTAT